TGCTACCCAAGCTTCTTTCTCCCACCTTCTCTTTGGTCATGGCCTTTTGGTTTTGTTTTATGCTTAACCTTTGTGTAAGTGATGAATGTTTGAATGGTTGTAGGAGTTGTTACTTCTCCCATTTCATCTCACTCTTCTTTGACTTGTTTATGTCAACTTGTTTTGATTATTTACCATTGTTGCATCTCATGTTTGCATTGCTTTGACTTGTTTAAGTCAACTTATTCTCATTTCTCATTTCATCTGTGATTGAGTTATCTGTTTTTTACTTGGTCTGTTGCCATGATCCCTTAGGATTCCTAGTCCCTCTGTTTAAGATGGGAGTAGGAGAGACATTAGGTGTTCAATCCTTTGCATGATAACATTAGGATAGATTTTCCCTTTTAATCCCAACCTTAGGAGCATTTTGTATGATAACATTAGGGTTAATTAGTTTCCCCTTAGAGTTTGTGTCTTTCTCTTCTCATCTCATAATCTCTTAAGATACTTAATAAAGGATAATAAATGTTGTACGCTACGAGCCTTGAGTACTTGAGGAATGATAGTTGGGGGCCTCCTCTAAATCTGTCTAGAGTGTTTAGCGTATGCCTTTTGGGCGATATGCAATGCATTCGCTCTCAAGTCATAGTCTTTAGTGCAACATGAGTTACAAACTTAACTCAATTCACTTCTTCATAAAAAACACAAAACCAAACATCAAACCTTTTTATCCCTTGGGATTGTTTGAAAATCATTTTCAGAAAGAGTGTGTTAAGTCTTGGTTCTCCCACAAACAAGTAACACCTAAGTCTCCAATGGTCTAGCAACAATACACCTAACTGCTAGAACGAAGGTTTAACCCTACTCAGTTAAAACACTTGAACCAATTTGTGGTCGTGTCAGCCCGAACTACGTTTGCTCTGATTTCTCATACCAGATGAGAATATGTAGGCACTAGACGAAGATGTCTTGGCAAGCAACCTTCCCCCTTTTTCACCCTTAGTTTTTCAAACTATGTTGACTCTCACTTTCCCATTGCACGAGGGAATACGTAGGCATATAGCGGCGATACTCTATTTAGTCTCTTTTCTTTCTTTTGTCCCTGTGAGCCAACCTTTTGATAGTTTAACACCCTTTTAGATAGACAACAAGCGTGGATCCCGTTGAGTACAATGGACGTGAGGGGTGCTCATACCTTCCCCTTGCGTAACCGACTCCCGAACCCAAGATTTGGTTGCGATGACCTGTCTTTTCCCTTTTTTGTAGGTTTTCTCTAATCATTTCCTTTCACTCTCTTTGGCATAAATAACGAACGGTGGCGACTCTTCTGTCTTTGCCGGACCCTCTTCGCAGCGATGCAGCACCCATATAAAAGCCCTTTTAAGTTCTTTAAGTTTCTTTTAAGCAATTTTTTGGAACAACTCTATTCAGCATTGGATATGTAGGGATTGCTTCAATTATAGACTTTGCAATAGTGACTCTACCAACAAGTGATAGTTGGTTCTCTATCTAAGATGCCAATTTAGATTTGACCTGATTAATTAAGTATCGGTAATCCCCCACCTTTGAAAATATTCATGTTAAAGGGATTCCCGAGTATTTTCCCATCTCTTTGGATTCTTTGAAACCTCATAAGTGAATTAATTGTCTTCTTGTCTGGATACTTGTATTCTTAGAAAATATAATGTTTGTATTTTCCTTGCTAAGCCTTTGGCCTGACGTATCACAAAATCATTGGAGGATATTTAGAACATGGATCATCTGGTTTTCTAAATCCTTTCCAAATAGAAGTAAACCATCTACAATAAGGTGAGAGATTATAGGTCGTTGCCTACCTACTTTTAAGCCTTTCCAAAGCCCAAAGTCTATTGATTTAGTGATCATGTGTGATAATTTGTCCATGCATAAAATAAAGAGGTAATGTGAAATAGGTTCTCCTTGCCTTAGTCCCCTTTTAGGAGCAAATTAAATATCACTTTCACCATTCCATAACACATTCGGTCTAAATGAGGTTACTACTACCATCACAACTTTGGAAAATTTGGGAGGCAATCCTACTTCTTAGAGAGTTCTTCCAATAAAGCTTCAACTAAGATTGTCGTATGCCTTGGCTATACCAACTTTGATGACTAAGTATCTTGTATTGCCCTACAATTTTATCATGTTATGCAACATTTCCTGAGCAACTGTGATGTTGTCATGTATACTTTGTTAGAACAAGATTTTGATTCTGTATATAATCTCTAGTTTTGATGATAATAATGCATATATTTTATATGTAACAATTTTGTACTCTAATAATTTTCTGAAGTGTGCAGATATAAAGTTTAAATTGATTCTAGATAACTATCTAGAAATCTCATCATAATCAAATTTTGGCACGTCTCAAAAACTACTTTGATAGCATCTGAAGAAACATCAGCAGTTATGATGAATGTTGAATGTCTCTGAAGAAAAAGAAAGTGCGTGTGCTTCTCAAATAAGCTTCACTTCCAGCTCTGGAGTCAAAGTTTCTAAGTTCTAAAGACCTGTCCACTCTCTACTGATAATCAAGCTTTTGGCTTTGACAGAATCATTCTAAGAATACTTGACTGAAGACAACTTCTGACTCTGAAGATCTGAAGAGTATGATACTTCTTGGCGCATTTATCTTCTGAACTCATTATCACTTCACATCAGATAAATTCCTTCAGAAGATAAGATCAAGAAAAAACTCACGCTTAAAGGATTCGTACAACAATATAATCCCAAATTGGTACAAATTAATTGTGCGCCAATATTGTTAAGGAATATTTGTGAGACTTTACTACTCATGTCTCCCACAATCCTCGGATTACCATTATGGCAGCTGGCACTAACAATGACATCTGTACCCTCCAACGTTCAACCACTAAGCCTATATAAAGGAGTCACTACCTCATTGCATGAGCAACGAACCAACAACAAACAACACTGCAATAGTGAAAACACAAAGTCTCAATATTTTCAAATACAAGAGTTGTTGCTCATATTTGTGTATTGTTTTTTAATTGTTTCATTCGCTTTTTAGAAGCATTATTGTAAACACTTTCCATTGTATTTTCTTTGAAATTATTTTTTCCTCAAGTGACTAAGTGTTAGTCTATATATTTGAGAGGGTTAAGGTGTTTTCTAACACTTAGACGAACTTTTTGTAATCTTTCAAGATTAGTGGATTAAGTCCTTATTGAAGGCGAAATCACCTTGGCGGGTGAACAAGACGTAGTCTCGTTATAGGAGAACTTATATAAACCAAACATGTCAATTTATTTCTTGGTTTATATATCTTGTTTATGCGTGTGTAAAACATTTCTCTGAAAAAGTTTTGAAAACCCCAATTCAAACCCCAATTCTTGTGTTTTTCTCTACCTTCATACTTCTGCTATAGATAAATCCTGTTTAGATATAGGACAAAATTTTGGTCATGTATACTCTTGTCGTATGCTTTAGACATATCAATTTTGATGACAAAGTATCCTATCTTGCATACAATTTCATTATGCTATGCAGAATATCCTGAGCAATTGTAATGTTTTCATGTACACTATTGTCAGAGATAAATCCTGATTGGAAAGAGGACATACTTTTTTGTCAAGTTACTTTTCAGTCTATTCACTAATATTTTGCTTAACATCTTATAGTTTGAGTTGCACAAGGATATTGGTCGAAATTGGCGCACATGCTAAGGGTTTGACATTTTTGAAATCAGACATATATCATTATTGTTAACCTCTACAATGCTTTTAGTATCATCCCAAATATGTTTAATGAAATTGCATGTATTCTCACCTATAATATTCCATGTTTGATGGTAGAATCCAGTTGGATATCCTTAAGGCCCAAGAGCTTTTCAAGGAGCCATTTCAAACACAATTTTCTGAATTTCTTCAACATTTAAGTCTATATCCCATGTCTTTGTATATAATTTCTTCTAGCCTTGGATAAGTGTATTCAATTTGGTACCAACTTCTTGTTTCAATATCTGTTATGAAGAGAGTATGGAAGTACTCCTTGAATTTGCTTTTGATTTTGCCTACATCTTCGATCCATTCTCCATCATCACCTCTGATCATATAACTTTTATTTTCCTCTTCCTTTGCACTGATTTGACATGGTTGTACCTTGTATTTCTGTCTCCATCAATCAACTATTTAACTCTTGATCTTTGTAACATGCTAATTCCTCTTGATGAAGGATTTTATTAAGGTCTTGCTGGATGTTAGACTCATGTCTTTGAAGATTATCATGCCCCTTATCATTATGAAAAGCTTATTGGATGCCCTTAAGTATTCTCATGAGTCTCATTTTTTGTCTTTGAATTTCATTAAGAAAATGCATCTTCCATTATTTAATTTGGTTTTTGAGATGTTCTAGATGTTTGATCATGCCGGAGTCTATGGATCATCACACATCACATTGAATTTTCAACACTCATTTGAAATGAATTTGAACACCACATATTAAACGAAAATCTTAAGACATTAAGTTTATGGGTCTTTTCACTTATAAAGTGTTTAACATCCGCTTTTTTATTTAACGAGAAACTCTTACTCACACTTTATACTTTATTGTTCTATCTTATGTCGATTATTATATATATATTTTTGGCTAAGTATAATTTTTAATTCTTAACTATACTCTTAGATTCAGATTCATCCCTTAATTATTTTTTGTGTCAGATTGGTCCCTTGACTATTTAAAACGTGTTATATTGGTCATTTTCGTCTAATTAGCGACAAAAATCCGTCACTAATTAGACAAAAAAGACTATTATGACACGTTTTAAATAGTTAAAGAAATAGTCAGACAAAAAAAATTAAAAAATCAATTTAAATTTAAAGATAAAATTAAAGGACTAAAAATAATATTTTTTCTATAATTTTTTTAAGGAAGAGATAGCATAAAATTTTGATTTAATAATAAAAAAGTAACGTGATTCATGGAATAAAATAAGAAAAGAAAATGACAGACCACGTAATACAAGATAGCTGCTGCCATTGTTAATGGGTTGTAGTAGCATCGCGTCAGCTGTGTCACTTGCTGCTTTATCTCTATCGTCACCCCATTTTCCCCGAAACCCATTTTCTTTTTTTCATTACTTACCATCTTCCACTTCATCAACAAAAACACCCATTTCCCTCCTCACGTAACTTTTCTACTCACTCATCTCATTTTATTTTTTCCTTCTCTATTATTAGTTTATTACACTCTTTTATTAACTTAATCTCAATTTAATCTTCAGCAGAAAATTTTCAGCAATGGATAATCCAAAAAGCTCTCCACTCAAAGAATTTCCATTAGGAATAGACGAAGAAACAGAACAACAATATGCACTTCACTCTAACCTACTTCAACAATTCACCGCAATCTCTTCTATCGACAAGGCATGGATTTTCAAATCAAACACAGGTAAATGAAATTCCACTTTCAAATTTCAGTTTTCAATTTTCAATTTGCGTTTGCGATTATTCAACTAAGTTGATTTTGTGGTTTTTGCGGTTAAAGATTCTTCACAGGGAATGATGTTTTCTGTTAGTCAATCGAATCTTCTGGCTAACAAGAAACGGAAGTTAATTCTATCGTCTACGGTTACTAAACGGAATGACGGTTCCGTTAATTTACAGTGGGCTCCGTTTCCGGTTGAGGTGTCTGGAGTTTCCGCTATGGTTCCGTCACCTTCTGGTTCAAAGCTTTTGATTGTTCGAAATCCTGAGAGTGATGGTCCTTCTCGGTTCGAAATTTGGAGCAACTCTTATGTTGAAAGGGAGTTTCATGTACCTCAATCCAAACATGGTTCTGTGTACACTGATGGATGGTAAACTTACTATCATCACCACTTTGCTTGTCATTGTTGTTCACGGAACTCAATTGATAGGAATCCTCAGTATGCATCTAATTGGGATATGAATCTGATCTTGAGTTTTGATTCATTATGATGAATCCGGATTCAACATAATGAGTCATTATTTGTCATTTGATTTATGATTTGAATTATTTATTTGCAGCTTATAACATAAGCCTTATGTATAAACTATTTCTTTAATAAAATGTCAAATACATATAAATGGTTTTCGTATACGCAATAACTATTTTCATAAGCCATCTTGGAGAGCTTATGAATATCAACTGAAAATAGCTTATGAATGTGTTGTGTTATAAGTTGTATTCATAGGGTCTCCCGAATAGTCTCACAAGTGCTTATGATAGCATATAAACTCAAATAAGTCAACTCAAATAGGTCGATGACTATAAACTTACAGTTTTGTTATGTCACTTGTTTTTACTTGGTGTCCTATTTTTATTGGTAATGTATATTATGATTAATAAGAAGATTTGGTTCATGATTCTGAAAATTGGTCTTTTGATTCAAGATTTGAATCTCGATTTCATAACTATGCAGGGAAGCACTTACACTTTGGAATAATATTTATACATGTGTCACATTTCCATGGCACACGTATCAGGAACACTTGTTTATTTTAAAATCTGTTGTTTTTTTGAACTTCTATAGCAATTCAAATGTGCATATTACAATAAATAGATGCATACTAGCATTTTATTATATTTTCAATGATGCGTGCTACATTTTGAGTTTGGATTACTTGTATTAACTCAATCACACATTCTTTGATCTGAATATTTATATGCTAAGATTGGACGATTCATATTTTGAGTTTGTATTTTGGACCTGATTTACTGAAATCAAAACTTAGGCTGTTTTCTATTGATTTAACGTTCCAGATCGCGTGACTGCAAAGACTTGCATTTTCATTTCAATTTTATTCTTATTTTGTCTGCTGTATTACAGTGACATCATCTCGTATAATTTTAAGAACTTGGGCGTGTTCTCATGTCCTCACTGAGTTATTGTACCTCAAGTGTCTTGTGTTTTTTTTTTTTTTTTTTTTTTTTTTTTTGTATTTTTCCAGCTGTTTTTCTTTTTTGTATGTCAATCAGTTAATGTTTTTGGATACTGTTAGTTTTTTATTTCTTATTTAGTGTTTTTTCATTTTAATTGTTGAAGTAAGTTGCGACCTCTGCAGGATGTAATAGTATTAAAACATTCATGCCGTGCATTAAAATTCGATAGCTGGTGTCTTGTTCTGTGATATTGTAGGTTTGAGGGAATCTCTTGGAACTCCGATGAAACTCTTATAGCATATGTCGCTGAAGAGCCTTCCCCGGCAAAGCCTACATTCAATGATCTGGGCTACAAGAAAAGTGGTTCTGATGACAAGGATTCTAGTAGCTGGAAAGGTCAAGGAGACTGGGAAGAGGATTGGGGAGAAACATATGCAGGAAAGAGGCAGCCTGCACTTTTTGTCATAAACATTGCTAGGTTCTGTATAGTTTATAATTTATATTCATTCAATAGTAAATATTTTATTCATGAAAGCCCTAATTATAATAGTGATTTTACAGTGGAGAGGTACAGGAAGTCAAAGGAATTGACAAATCTTTGAGTGTTGGACAAGTTGTATGGGCTCCATTAAGTGAAGGCTCTGCTCAATATTTGGTTTTTGTTGGTTGGTCATTTGAGACAAGAAAACTTGGTATTAAGTACTGCTATAACAGGCCTTGTTCAATATATGTTGTTAAAGCACCGCACGGATCAAAAACCAATGAAAATGAGATCCAGTAAGTTACTTCAGTTTAATTTCATTTTAAAAGTGATTCTGTTTTATTAAGTTTGGTTATGCTGAGCTGAAGTATAAAGGTGTAATGATGCAGCTCAACTGAAAATGCTCAGGCGCTTAACCTAACTCAAACCATAAGTAGTGCTTTCCTTCCACGGTTCAGGTAAGCTGATACTCACATTCCCAATGCGCATCAGAGTCGGATCATTTTTACCTCTTGTTTCATATATGCATGTAATGTATTGACTTATGACGAGATGGTGGGGATGTTGGCTAATGATGAAGGGTTTACCATTTATATTTTAGAGACTATACCATGCATCAGTTTGAGAGTGATGTGGATGGTGGCTTAAGTAAAACAAACTTTAAGAAAATGGTTTCTATTTTAAGAAGTTTTTTGTTTTTTATTCCCATCTCCTTTAAAAGAGTTTAATGACTATTGTGCAAATACTTTGAAGAATATAAAAAATAACATTTGGTTGGTACTAATATTCCCTGAAATCATCAAAAACTTACCTAAATGCTATTATCAATTTTCATCACATGATCTGGTTCAACAAGTAATTAGTAATATGTGTGGGAATATAATTTCTGCAAATTTGATTCTAACACATGCATATTCTACCAGCCCAGATGGAAAGTTTCTCGTATTTTTATCTGCAAGAAGTTCAGTTGATTCTGGGGCCCATTCTGCTACAAATTCACTTCATAGAATTGATTGGCCCAAGGATATAAAATTCCATCAATCTGCAAAAGTTCATGATGTTGTAAGCTTTTTCTGCAACTAGTTTAACTCGCTTTATTATATATTCTTTTTAAAAAGCTGTAAAATGAGCATGATCATTTTCATTATGTTTGTTAGCCACATGATGAGTGCTTTTTTTTTTTTTTTTTGTATTACTTATTTTAAGATACCAGTTGTGCTGTGTGCTGAGGGTGATGGCTTTCCCGGGCTTTACTTTTCAACTATCCTTAGTGATCCATGGCTTTCTGATGGCCATACTTTGGTTATTCCCTCTGTCTGGCACAGCAGTCAAGTTTTACTGTCTGTCAATGTGTTAAGGTAAGGTAACAATAACAGTAGGATTGTTTTTATTATGTTTATGTAAACCGTGAACAAATCATCCTGACCAAACTCTGCACATTTTCATCAAATACAGTGGAAAAGTAAAGCGAATCACACCCGCAGACTCAAATTTCTCGTGGAGTCTCCTTACGTTACATGGGAACAATATTTTTGCTGGTAACATTAGATGCTCATTTTATCTTTGATCTGTAGTATATGAGTCTGATATGTGTGTTGCTTCACTCTAAATTGCTCTAAATACATGCAGTTTCTAGCAGTCCAGTAGATGTTCCACAGGTCAAGTATGGAACCTTTGTTGAGAAGGAAGCTGGTAATAATGAATGGAGTTGGTCAGATGTATCAAATCCCATATATAAATTTTCTGAAAAGGTTTTGGTTAATCTTCCTTGGCATTATTTGTATGGATTATTTTTGTAAATAAAAACAATGCTGTGTGCTAAAAGTTCATTTGAATTTTCTGCAGGTAAGTTCTTTGTTATCCTCTCTTACGTTCAGTGTGATGAAGATCTCAGTCAAGGATGCTTCTCAGAACCCAACTAAAGGTATATATGGCTTACTTTGGGGTTTTGGACTAGATTAAATGCATAGGTGTATCTTAATGCAACTCTTATTTACTGATCACAACCAATTGTGAGATTAAATAGCCGATGGCAGTTTGTGGGGCTTGGTATCTGTTACTGTTGTGCAGCAGAAACAACTAACCACTCAAGGAAGATAGCCCACAAATTAATGTTTCTTGGATGTTTACAGTTGTATGGTTTTTACTGCCCTTCAGCAAGAGCAGAGGAAAAGTAAATGTTCTGTTGCATGAAGATGATAGATATAAGCTTGTATAATGAAGAGTGATAAACTTGTATAAAACTGATAACTTCTTTTGTATGTATATAGCATGCTTATGTATGGGTACACTTGCAAGAATAAACAGTAAACATAGAACTATTGTTGAAGTTAGTTAGATAATCTTGATCATGTCTGGTACTATAATATTGGTAGCTGAGTTATACTCAATTTTCCTGAAAATTTGATTTTCAATTACATGCCAATTTCAATTTCAGGCTCTTGTAAACCCTATGAAGCTATATTTGTGTCATCAAAAACTAAGAAAACTGACACATGTGATCCATTGATCGCGGTCCTTCATGGGGGACCACACACTGTCTCTTTGTCAAGCTTTTCAAAGTCACAGGCTTTTCTTGCTTCAATTGGATATAGCTTGTTGATTGTCAACTACAGGTAAATAATGTCCCCCTCAGTGCCTGAGAATTTAAAGTTCATATTTAGTTTGATGTGTTGAATCATATTCCTGTTCATATTTACTTAGTGTTTGATCAAGAAATGGATTCCTAGTCTCATAGTGATACCGGTGTAGATCGATGCTTGGAAAATTTTAGTGATTCTTAGGTTGCACCACATATAACTTACATATCAAAGGAAATGACCTTATATTGCCTATAAACTTGCAATACATCACATTAATAATTATTATGTGTGCTACTAAGCACTTACGACCAAATAAAAGACCGGACTCTAGAGGGATTTTCGGATTTCCATTGGGATTTATCAAGATAGATGGTATCTCTGCTCATTGAAAAAGTTGGATGTTGGAAAATGTATTTGCATGACAACACCACAGAAGGACCAAGAATCCAAATCCTGTAAACTAATGGACAAAAAGAATAGTCCAGAATACCAAAAAGAGACTGAAATTCTTTATCATTTAAGTTGGTGAGGCTCTAGTAGAAATCTCTATAGCCATTTTCCCGCCAAAGCAATCTCTTATTTGATTTTATTATTTGAAGTCTCTGAGAAGTCCTAACCATAGTGTGGGGCAGCTTTAGAAATATCTATCAGGGATTCTGGGCTTTGGCATTATGCTGTAAAGCCATACAGCTTCAATGATGATTTTGATTTGGAAAGTTATTTCATAATATTTAGTACGTTTTAGCACAGCTCTCAAGGCATGAAATAATCTGGTTTTTATTTGCATGAAGTATATTCAGTGTTTGGATAGAAATTTTTTCCAATTTATGTTCAAATATCCTCTTTTTTCTTGAAGCTACTATAGGTTCAATTCAACATATATTTTTTTCTTTGCACTAGATCATTCACCTCCTTTTAAGCTTCACATTTCCACAATAAAATGGTTTATAAATATTTAATATTATACTATTGTGGTAGTAAAAGAGGACAATCTGAGAAATGATTTGATTAGATTGATATATTGTGGTTCAATACATCAAGTTTATTGCCCCTATCTATAATAATTAAGAGATAAAGTTCTAGCAATAAGACTACAGCTAGTATTTTATTTTAATGAGTTTGTTATATCAACATATACTAAATGTTTTTCTCTAGGAGAATGATATTGCCAACACCTTTACTTCCATAGCCAGTATGACCCTCACAATGCATGAAGCTTTTTTAGATGTCCTACAATAGTTGAACAAATGTCTAGGACTAGTGCTTCTACAAGTTTCTTACTTGACAATATTTCTCAGAGGTTCACTGGGATTTGGCGAGGAAGCCTTACAATCTCTTCCGGGGAAAATTGGATCTCAGGTACTTAGTTGTTTTTCTTTCTGATTTCTAAATTTTCATGCTTGTGTGTTATATATCTACTGCAGCTCTCTTTCTAAGCAAGCTCAAAAATTATAGTATGGCCTTATTTTTCTATGAAAATGGATCATGATCTTAATTTGTCATATGCAGGATGTCAATGATGTACTCAATGCTATTGATCATGTCATAGACTTGGGACTTGCCAGTCCATCAAAGATTGCGGTTCTTGGTGGTTCACATGGTGGCTTTCTGACAACCCACTTGATTGGCCAGGTCCACAGATACTGACTTTTAAAATCTGATACATTTTCGTATAGAATTCTTTTATCTAGTCATTTTTGCAAGTTTAACCCGTAACTTTTTATGACTATGTATGTACTCAAAGTTTGGGCTGTCACAAATTTATTATGAGTTTTGTTTTAACATTGTTTAGAATTTTATATTGTCTTTCTGATTGCTATAGGCTCCAGAGAAGTTTGTTGCAGCAGCTGCTAGAAATCCTGTTTGTAACCTTGCGCTGATGGTTGGTACAACTGATATTCCTGATTGGTGCTTTGTCGAGACCTATGGAACCAATGGGAGGGATAGGATTACTGAAGCACCTTCAGCCGAGGATCTGAGTCTATTTTATAGCAAGTCTCCTATTGCACACATCTCAAAGGTCTGTACATTCAACTGGTCTCAAATTTAACGAGTCCAGCATTCCGAAACAGACTGTTATTATAAAAAACTATTTATAATATTTCATACTTGTTAAATCCTGACATTACAAATTTTTGTTTTGATGTTTGCAGGTAAAAACACCAACCATTTTTCTATTAGGTGCCCAAGATCTTCGCGTCCCAATTTCAACTGGACTGCAAGTAAGATTTTAATCCTCAATTTAAGAGCTGCGTTACCTTTTATACTAAAAACCCTGTGATGGAGAAAACCATATTGTTCAAATCTGTAGTTTGCTCGGGCTTTAAAGGAGAAAGAAGTACCGGTTAAAGTCATCGTGTTTCCAAACGATGTTCATGGAATTGAAAGGTACACAAATCCTACATAAAAATCTATTATGTTTAAATAGAGTTGTAATTGATAAAATAGTTTGGTTTAACTTATGTACAGACCACAATCCGACTTTGAAAGCTTCCTTAGCATTGCTGCGTGGTTCAACAAGTACTGCAAATGAGTAACATTTTCAGACACCAGCATTAAATCACATGATTTCCTGGATATTCTTGTGTAACTGTATTATTTTAAATATGAATATGATAGTGGAGCGAACTGTATTTGTCATATGGGCTTTCTTGATCTTTCAATAAAAAACATTTATAAAATACAACATGGCACTGAATATTTGAATATGAATAATATTCTATTTTGTTTTTCTTTTCATCGGCACTGAATAAGATTTTAATCCTCAATTTAAGAGCTGCGTTACCTTTTATACTAAAAACCCTGTGATGGAGAAAACCATATTGTTCAAATCTGTAGTTTGCTCGGGCTTTAAAGGAGAAAGAAGTACCGGTTAAAGTCATCGTGTTTCCAAACGATGTTCATGGAATTGAAAGGTACACAAATCCTACATAAAAATCTATTATGTTTAAATAGAGTTGTAATTGATAAAATAGTTTGGTTTAACTTATGTACAGACCACAATCCGACTTTGAAAGCTTCCTTAGCATTGCTGCGTGGTTCAACAAGTACTGCAAATGAGTAACATTTTCAGACACCAGCATTAAATCACATGATTTCCTGGATATTCTTGTGTAACTGTATTATTTTAAATATGAATATGATAGTGGAGCGAACTGTATTTGTCATATGGGCTTTCTTGATCTTTCAATAAAAAACATTTATAAAATACAACATGACACTGAATATTTGAATATGAATAATATTCTATTTTGTTTTTCTTTTCATCGGCACATATCTTAAAGATTATATCAACAATCCATACATACATAGATACATACAATTGGAACAATTCTTCAACCACTGCTATTTTAGTAGGAGACACAGCACAACAATTCTAACCGACAATTGGAAGGTCAGTGGTTGAAGAATTCTTGAATTCAGAGAATAACAAGTCTGATTATGAATGGTAATTTTTTATTAATTGCAACTTTAATTGCTAATGGAGTGTATGATTTAGCTATATGAGTACATTCATTCCATATATTGTAAATCAATTGTGTTTTTGATACCGATGAGACCCTTAGCTTTCAGGAGGACGAACGGCAAGCAATTAGGATGAGAAGAGATTCGTATTTGCTAGCAGAACATGTCCCACATCATGTGAGTTTTATTTATTTAGAATGTGTATATACGTATACTATCAACACTTAATATAAAATTGTGATTTAAAGAGATGAGCTTCAAGCACAACAATTTGTTTATTTAATTTTCATATAAATTTCTAAAAAAACATAATTATAAAATATTAATTAGATTTAATTGCAATTTTGATTTTCCTATTTTGATTTTTTTTAGTTTTATTTTTTTTATTTTTATTTTTGATTCCTATATTTTAAAGTTTGGAATTTTGGTCTCCTTATTTTTATTTTTACTTTTTATTTTTGATCTCTTTATTTTAAATTTTATCTTGGATTTTAGCTTCCTTTCTGTTATGGACTGGGCCCAGGCTTGACCGGGCAGACCCAGTCCAATGCTACTTGGAAAAACCCAAGTAGGCTCATATCACGTACGTCGAGCACAAGGATTCTCTGTCGAGCAGACGCTACCCTCCGCGGGCAGAACCTTCCCTCCTTCGAGTAGAACAACGTGTCCTCCACACGTTTTCCACGTGCTCTCCTCTGCGGGGACACGTCCTCATCCAACCACCCACCTCTGCAAGAGTTGGTCAACCCACCTTTCGGAGATCACGGGATGGTTGAACTAGGGCGAAGACCACGTGCCGGTCTTCACTACGTCACGTAAGCCCTAGCAGTCACTTGGGTTGGGCCTGACCATCCAGCCCAACTCAACTGACCGTTGGCCCTGCGCTGGGGTCTCACTATAAATACCCTCTTTCACTAGAGGGTCAGGTATTCAATTCTATTCCAAACCGTCTCTCTGTATTTGCTTCACTCTGGTCCTCTCTCATTTTGGCATCGGAGTGTCTTGCAGGTACACCCCCTCCTCCTTATCACCGGTGAACAGGCAGTAGATCAAAGACGTGTGGCAGTCCAGTGATTCCCTTCTGATCAGGTCAGATCAGTGGCGCCGACTGTGGAGACTAAACTTTCCCGTTCCTCCAAGCAGAAAAAGAAAGTTTCACCTATCAACACTTCAGAATCATGACTAGCCCATGCCATGATGACGTTGTTCATAACTCCTCCGTCGTCCCCACCACCAACAACGACGGTCACATAGGGACTTCTCTACTCTGTGAGACCGACGTCAGGGATGGCAAGACTGCCTCCCATTCCCCCGAGGACACACCGCACCACGAGGTTCCTCGGGCAAGAAGCCCGACAGTGTTCCAACCCATCCCTACGCCGGCTGGCGCGGACCCGACGATGGTCGCCCTCTTTGCGGCCATCAACCAGACAAATCAGATGCTATTCCAACAGAATCAGCGCATTGGCGCGCTCGAGAACCCGTCCCGCTCCCCTCCGCGGAAAGAGCAGTACGGAAACTCGAGGAGTCCATCACCTCGTCCACGAAGTTGCCGACCACAGTTGGAGAGACCCCAACCCGTTGCCTCCAAGAAGCGGGCAAGGTCGCCGACCAGGAAAGAGAGGCGAGTTTAGGAGCCGAAGACGACGGGGACGGAACCTCTGGCCAGGCAACCGAGGGTACGAAATCAACCCCCTCACCGACACGAGCCCTCGCCTCCTCCGTTCCCGATTCTCAGCGACGAGGACGACTACAGGACCCCTTTATCCCGGGAGATAATGGCAGCTCCCATCCATTATGGGATGGAAAAATCCCCTGTGCTCTCGACGTACGACGGCACCTCGGACCCGGACGATCACCTGGAAGATATCGAGGCTATGCTCGATTACCGCAATGTCCGAGGAGCCATCAAATGCGAACTCTTCCCGACGACCATGCGGAAAGGCGCCATGACATGGTACAAAAGCTTGGAGCCGGAGTCCGTCACGTCGTGGAGGGTCTTGAAGGACCTCTTTTCACGACACTTCACGGCATCCAGGCGCCACCCGAAGACAGAAGCCACACTAGGCGCGATCATCCAGGCCCCCGGCGAGCCCCTCAGGAACTACATCGAGAGGTTCACAAAGGAGGCAGTGCAGGTGATGTCTTCCGACGAGATGAAGCGTTACCTAATGGAGCAAGGCCTGCGTCGGGACTCCAAATTCTATGAGGCCGTAGCCATTCATCGGCCAGACTCCCTCCAAGATTTCCTCGAACGGGCTCGCAATTATATTCGGTTCGAAGAAACACAAGCAGCTAACTCAGCCCGTGACACCAGGGACAAAGAGACCCCCCGCGGATCCCGAGACGACGGAGCCTCGAGCCACCGACGCAGGGGAGATCGACGACAAGATGATCGTCCACGAGAAACCCGCGAGCAGCGTGGCCCAGCTGGTCGGTTCACGGAGTACACTGCGTTGGTCACTTCCCGCGAGTGCATACTGGCTGAGTGCGCCAAAACGAAGTTTGTCTAAGGAGGTGCCCGTTTTCCAAAACGGGCACCCACCAAAGCCAACATGGACAAATCGAAATACTGTCGCTTCCACCGAATTCACGGTCACGTAACAGATGATTGCATCCACCTAAAGGACGCAATCGAGATTTTGATCAAGGACGACCATCTTAAAAGGTATACCCGAGGAGGAGAGCCCCCGCGACAGGAGGCCCCCGAAGCTAAAAGAGTCGAGGACCTCCCTCATTCGGAAGGCGATTCCGGCCTATAGGTTGTCCTCAGCGTCAACCGAGGTATACCCGAGGAGGAGAGCCCCCGCGACAGGAGGCCCCTGAAGCTAAAAGAGTCAAGGACCTCCCTCCTTCGGAAGGCGATTCCGGCCTATAGGTTGTCCTCAGCGTCAACCGACCTGGGGATCGGTTCACCCTCAAGGAGTTCAACCTTCCTGTCGAACTTGAGCTACCCGAGGAGCCAGTGCGCCCCACTAGCCGGTGGGAGTATTTCCCGAGGGCAATGATGATCTCCGGAGGGAAACCGAGCAAGCTATCGGTGGGGTCAGTTAAGCGGAAGTTCGACGAGCTTATCAGCAATAGCTCCGGCAAAATGAGCACGCTCGACAAGTTCCGAGGTCGTTCCAACCCGATCACTTTCTACCTCGAGGAACCCCCCGGGGGAGCCCCAAACGCAAACATTCCCCTACTGATCCGAGCACAGATGGCTAACTTTGACGTCCGACGCATCCTGGTCGACGGGGGGAGCTCGATGGACATCATGTACACCCATCTCTTCGCGACACTTCAACTCGACGAATCCAACTTATCCCCATACCTAGGCTCCAATGTACAGGGCTTCAACGGGACGACGACGAGACCATGGGGGTACATCGAGCTCAAGGTCACCTTCGGGGAGAAGGAAACGACCAGAGAAATCAACGTCCATTTTCTGGTCGTCGAGTGCCCATCTCTATATAACTGCATCTTGGGCAGAATGACGATGGCCGAACTCACTGCGGTACCATCGACTGTCCACCTAAAGATGAAATACTATACCATACTTGGAGCCGTTGTCACCTTCAACGGGGATATCGAAGCCGCCCGACGATGCTTCGATGCGACGATGAAGGGTCTTAGTACAATCGGTCCCCCGACCAAAGCAACCAAGCCACCTCCTGCCCAAGAGGTTAAACCGAAAGATCACGTCGACGCTGTGGACCTTGACTGCCGCTTCACCGAAGAACCTAACCACGAAGACCATGAAGATTGAGACGGGGCTGCCTGACCTTGTGAGGAAACAACTAGAGGTCTGCCTCCGTGAGAATGCCGATCTCTTTGCCTGGAGCGCCGCAGAGATGCCCGGACTCGACCCCGAGGTCGCCTGCCACCAGCTCTTCGTCAGTCCGGCCGCTAGGGTCGTAGTTCAATGTAGGCGTAGGCAGTCCCCCGAAAAGTCGACGGCGGCTGAAAAAGCTGTAAAAGACCTCTTAGAGGCAAATTTTATTTTGGAAGCCCGATATTCAATCTGGCTGTCCAACGTTGTACTCGTTAAGAAAAATAATAAAAAAATGGAGGATGTGCGTTGACTACACGAATCTTAACCGGGCATGTCCAAAAGACGCCTACCCCTTCCCCAACATCGACAAACTCGTCGACAACTCGGTGAGCTTCAAACTCCTGTCCTTCATGGAGGCATACTCGGGGTACAACCAGATACCCATGGCCGAGGCCGACAAACAGAGCACGACTTTCATGACATAGTCGGGAAATTACTACTACAACGTAATGCCCTTCGACCTAAAAAACACCGGCGCCACCTACCAGCAGATGATGAACAAGGTCTTCCGAGGAGAGATCGGCGACATGCTCGAGGTCTACATGGACGACATGATCGTCAAGTCCTGCAAGGAAGTCGACCATACGACACATCTCAAGAAGGTCTTCGAGACAGCGAGGAAATGTCGGATGCGTTTCAATCCAGAAAAGTGTACCTTCGGGGTGTGCGCGGGGAAGTTCCTCGGGTTCTACCTTACCGAGCGTGGGACCGAAGCAAATCCGGACAAGTGTCGGGCTTTTTCCGATATCGTAACACCGAGATCGAAGAAATCGAC